ACTTATAATTATTGTTTCATGCATTTGTTTTTAAAATCATATGGGAGGAAAAGAGAATTATAAACCAAAAATATAATTCTTCTGGCTTTTTTATGTATCTATGTAGCTACCCTTTTCTTTGTTCCTTATTTCTTCATATGGTTTCGAGTTACTATCTAGCGTCTTTTCATTTCATCCTGAGAGACTCCGTTTTGCATTTCTGTTATGGGAGGTCTACTACTGGTGGAATCTGTAAAGTTTTTTTCTATCTAGGAATGTCTTAATTTCTCCTTCATTTCTGAAAGTTAGTCTTGGGGGATATGGAATTTTTGACAAGTTTGTTTGCTTTTGCAACTTTAAATATGTTATCCCACTGCCTTTTGGCTTCCATGGTTTCTGAAGAAAAACTGGCTGCTAATCTTATTGAGGAGTCCTTGTATATAATTAAGGCCTTTCTCTTATAACGCTTTCAAGATTCTTGCTTTGTCTTTGTCTTATGACAGCATGGTTATAAGCTTTCTCATTGTAGATTTCTTCATGTTTATCTTACATGGAGTTTGTTGAGCTTCTTGCATGTTTATACTCATGTGTTTCAATTGCTCTAGCTTCACATTCAATGACTTTTTTCTAACTGTTCTAATCTGCTGTTGGAAACTTCCAGTGGTTTTTTTTTTTTTTTTTCATTTCAGTTTCTGTACTGTTCCGTTCCAAAAGTTCTATTTGTTTTTTTAAAAAATAATATCTCTCTCTTTACGGATATTCTCTACTTGGTGAGACATTATTCTCTTGGTTTACTTTAGTTCTTTGTATTTTATTTATGGAAACACTTTGAGCATATTTAAGAGAGTTGACGTAACTCTTTTCTAGTAAGCCCAATGCCTGGGCTTCCTTCTGCACAGTTTCTATTAATTTCTCTTTTCCCTGTGAGTAGGCCACACCTTCTTGTTTTCTCTGCATGTCTTGTTTTTTGTTTATCATTAAAAATTAGATGTTTTGATATCATACTGTATCAACTCTGGAAATTAGATTTCTAGACACACTTCCCTCCCCACCCCATGGGTTTAGTTGATAGCATTTGTGTGTTGTTGTTTTTTATTTGCTTTTTTAGTAACTTTTCTTAAATATTTTTGTAAAGTCTGTATTTTTATCATTTGTGGCCACTGGAGTCGGTGTTCTGATAGCTTAGTGGTCACCTAGTATTCCGACAGTTTCCTTAAACATGTGGAGCCTAAGAAAGAAAGAGAAGTATTCTCTAAGTCCTTGAAGGCTGGCTCTGTGTGTTGGGGCACTCTTTCAACTAGCCAGGCTGTAGTCTTCACTTCTAGCTTGCACGGGGCCTGAAAGCTAGTGAGATATGAGTCCTTAAGGTCTTCTCAGGCATTTTCTGAATAATTGTCCAGCCCTGCGCATGTGCATGGTTTTTTATTTCTCTAGTATATACAAGAACTTTTTAAAGTTCTTATTCCCCCAAGTATTTCCTTTCATAGCCTCTTCCTTCCCATGCTTTTCCATCTGTTTACTGTTTAACTGTTGTCCCTTGCCCCAGACTCCTATAGCCAATACTTGTATCTTTAAGTTTTTTCAACACATGCCCCTCAGGAAGCTGTTCCAAACCTGGAAACGCTCTAAGTGAGGCAAAACAAAAGCAAGATTACACCAATCCTTTAGGGAGCCAAAAGACAGGTCCAACTGGAATGCAACAATTCTTTGAGAATAAGTTCTGTATTATACCTATGCACAAGGGTGGGAGCTATACTGAAGGCACTGTGGAGGCTGGGGGATGGTAGACAGGCAATTTAAAATGCCGTAGCTCTCTTGCTCTCTCACCACAAAGCAGCCACTTCTTTCTTCACCAAGGCTTCCTTGGGTGTTGCAAGTTTTTGACAAGCTCTAGAGTTCTGTAAAAGTGGATTCTGACACTTCTTTCTAGTTCATGCCTGGCTCGTTGTTGCTTTTGTGGAGGGTTGATGTACCAACGTGTCCTCCTTTGTGATCTTCAGTGACATCATTTTTGCCACCTGATTTTTGCACTTCTAGAAATAATCACATTTCTTTACAACGTTCCTTCTACAACAGGCATGTATGAAGTCATAGAGTTATATCACAAGGAATGACACCTCTGACAGGCAAGGACTTTTCAATCCTTTTCACTGTCTGTGTTGAAATAAATGATAAATATTATTTAACAGCTTAGTCATATGTAAAACATATAAATTAGATTGAATTCTACTTCAGTTTTCGTTTATGCTTGGCTAACATATTTGGACTACTTCTTCTCCATCTGTTTTTTTGTATCTACTCCTTTAGACGTTTCATTACTTCTTGGTTTGGCTACGTGGCCCCACTTCTCTTCAATTCCTCCTGGCTGCGGGCAGTGAATCTCTAGATGTTTGAGTGACCTGAGATCCTAAGCAAGCACACTTGCCTCTGCAATACGTCACCTGGAATTGGCCTGTTCTTTGTGTTTTGACACGGCTGCCACAAGAAACCAATGCCCCATAGCTTCCTTGAGGAGTCCTTGTATATAATAAGGCCTTCACCATAGGATGGTGGTACCACGTGAAAGCCTGCTAACTCTCGCTGCAAGGGGCAGGAACAGAAGACAGATGCCCACAAGAGCTTGCATTCGTGTTTGAGTGGGTCCCTCCAGTCCTGACCACACCAGGAGGAAATGAGGCCCCACCCCACGACTTCCTGTGCCAGTATCGCCTGGCAGCTGATGGTTCACTCCAAGCCCCTCACTCTCCAGGTTTTATACCAAGATACCACCAATGTCCAGGTCTCTGTTAAGGCCTTAGAGGAGAAGGCAAAGAGGCTCACCATGGAGCCCCAGCCTCTTCCACCTACCCACAGAACAGCCCTTCCCCAACAGTTGGGTCTCAGGGAAAGAACGCTGTAATGGCGTATTCTGTCTTTAAATGATTTCCTCACGGGGGCAGTAGTGCTGCATATTTTCAAGGAAGCCTGCCTTGGGGCACTCTTCTCCCGCCCTTCCAGTGTGAAAAAACGCCACTGAGAGACAAAGGCGCCACCAAACATGGCTGCCTTGCATTTTGCCCAGTTTGGGGCGACCTGCTCATACTGCTGGAAGTTGCTTTTGTTTCCATCTGAAATCAAACCAAGGCCTAAGCCAGCCACTTTTTTACTGAAATTTTTCCCCACTAAACGCTCAATAACTTTATTTGCCTTTGGCTGGCTCCTGGGTGTGGGGCGGGGTAGGGGTTGGCAACAGCCTGGGTTTCATGCGCCCTCTGGTGGACCTCGAGAACTGGAATCCCGGCCAAACCTGAGGACTTCACAGTCAACACAGTTTAGGAGGGTTGCATCGTTCCTCAGGTCTGCACCCCAGACTCAACATGAGGGGACGGGGCATGTTAGAGGGATGCCCTGAACCTCTGGCTCTCATACTGTCCCGTGTTGGACACCCGCATGTTCTGCCGAGCCTTCATCTGCTTCACACGGTCCTTGTCCACTTCCCGCTTGTTGAGGATGAAGAGAAGGATACCACAAGGGAAGCCGATGGCCCAGGCCAGTCCCTGGCTTTCATGGGGTTCTTGCTCCTCTTTCTGGGAATGTATTCCAGCTCGGGGGATAGGGGTTCAGGTTCCTCCCTGCCCTCTGGGGAGCTGTGGGTTTGCAGTGCCTGGGTCCTGTTATGGGAGGCCGTGTTAGCTGTGGTTCCTGCCTGAATCCCCCGGAGGACACAGGCATTTCTCACCCCCCATATCCCCGGCCCTTCAGCACCATAGCAGCTACCACCGCCGCCATGTTCAGATCCCACCTTAAAGCACCCTCTTTTATCAGGCAATATTGTCTTTCAAGAACGCAATTTCCACTTAACCTAGTCTTTGCAGTTCTGCTCTTAACTCGGTTTTACATCTCAAGCATTTTCTCTACATTACCAAATTGTTTACGTCTAGGGGCAAGTCTCAAGGAGCTAGGCCTAGGAGGAAGAAAACAATTCTGAAAATTAAGGGCAGGATTGGGGCGTTTCTAGGCAGCAGGCCACATGTTCCTTGACTTGGCTTGCTGTTGTTAAAGAGAAAATTATTCTGGCACTTGTAAAAGTGATAAAGAAGACTTTATTCAAGACTATTGCAATAGGGACATTACAACAGGTGAGAAATAGATCAGTCTCCATTCTGAGCATAGTAAAGACAGCCAGGGATTTACAGTCAAGGAGCAGAATGAGGGGTGTCAGTGCATGGAACATCACAGAGAGGAGACATCAAGGGTAGGGGAATTCTTGCTAAACTGAGTTAAGATTCGTATTAAAACTGGATTAGGCAAGCCAAAGACTGAGCTCAAGAATGAGCTCAGTCAAAAAGAGGGCTCAGAGGAGCCTATCTACAATTTGGTCAAGGAGATAGCCTTTGTCAGTATTCATGCCCTCAAGGAGTCTTTCTCCATTTACGGGGTTAGACTGTAAAATGAGAGGCACCTGTTTTCTTGGAGCCCTAAGAGGAAGGCTTAGATACCGCTCATCACTTCATGCCATAAATGCGGACTTTGAGTGGTATACATATATAAATATGTATAAACCCCTATCAGAAGTTACTAAAAGGTTGTCTCATGATTTCATCTTTTAACATGGAAACACAAGCACTTTCTAATATCATTAATTTTGTACCTTATATTTTAAAATTTTTATTTCACTTTATTTTTTGTTTGTTTTCATTGTATTCTCATTTGAAATTAGTTACTTAGTTTCTTCAGAAAGCTAAGGAAAATATTCATTGAAATAAATTACAAATATTACTGAACAGCTTAGTCATATTTCAACTTGTTAAATACATTTAGGCTTAATTCAGTTTTTGTTTATGGTTGGCTATAATATTTGGACCATTTCTCCTCCATATCTCTCCACTGGAAACAAAATATATAGGATGAAATACAAAATTCTCCCTAAAAGTGTCAAAGAATTCACAAAAGAGAAACTCTCAGATTAAAGCTCTATAGACAGAGAATTAAGGGGAACACCAGATTACCCAGTCTTTTTGGCCTTTCAGGTATTTGCTTAGCTGGGTAGTATTGGCCTTCATTTTCAGGGACCTCACAGGTGGCAAAGAGCAGAAGATAGAAAAAGCCTGAAGGGAAGTATAACTATTAAAAAATAAAACACACTTAGGGATTTTCCTTTAACACAAACATCTATCCCACATGGTTACAGGTTGGTTCTATGAATTTTTTTTTTTTTTTTAAGATGGAGTTTCACTCTTCGTGCCCAGGCTGGAGTGCAATGGTGCGAACCCGGCTCACTGCAACCTGCACCTCCTGGGTTCAAGTATTCTCCTGCCTCAGCCTCCGAAGTAGCTGGGATTACAGGTGCATGCCACCATGCCTGGCTAATTTTTGCATTTTTAGTAGAGATGGGGTTTCGCCATGTTGGCCAGGCTGGTCTCGAACTCCTGACCTCAGCTGATCCGCCCGCCTCGGCCTCCCAAAGTGCTGGGATTACAGGCAGGAGCCACCATGCCCGTCCGGTTTTATGAAGTTTTAAGCAAAAGATGATTCCAATCTTATTCAAAATATTTTAAAGGGGAACTAGAGAAGAATTACTCCCCAACATATTCTGAGCAACTTTTATAACCTTGATACCTAAATCAAACATAGATTGTGACTGAAGAGAAAAATACAAACCCACTTCGATTATGAGTGGAGACTTAAAAATTGAAAGATATAAGCATGTTTAATCCATAGTTCTATAAAAGACAATAAACTACGATCAGCTTGGATTTATCTCATGACTGAAAGGGAGTTAAAACATTACAAAAGGACGAAATGTCATACACCACTTTTCCAAATAAAGGAGAAAAGTATATGGTCATCTCAGTTGATGCAGAAAAATAAAAATATTTGGTAAATTCAACAGCACTTACAACATAAACTTTTAGGAAGCCATGAATATAAAGGAACTTTCATAATCTGGTTATTGTCTCATTTAATCATTGCTCTGTGAAACACTATTTTTTAACTCAGTGGCTTAAAAAACAAGCACTTATCATAGCTGAAAAAGCTACAAGTAAGACCAAGTGCTGTGGCTCACGCCTGTAATCCCAGCACTTTGGGAGGCTGAGGTAGGCGGATCACCTGAGATCAGGAGTTCGAGACCAGCCTGGCCAATGTGGTGAAACCCCGTCTCTACTAAAATTACAAAAATTAGCCAGGCATGGTGGCATGCCCCCGTAGTCCCAGCTACTCGGGAGGCTGAGGCAGGAGAATTGCTTGAAACCAGGAGGCAGAGATTGCAGTGAGCCAAGATCATGCTACTGCACTCCAGCCTGGGTGACACAGCGAGACTCTGTCTCAAAAAAAAAAAACAAAAAAAAAAAAACAAATCTACAACTATACTGTGTTGTTATCATGGTCTTGCCTGGATTCTCAAGCATCTGGCATCATCACTAGGTCAGGTTGGCAGCTTTGCTAATGCTATCTCTTACATGTTTGGGGGTAAATTCACCATAGAGACTGCTGGTCTTTCCTCCCCATCCTGCAACAGGCCAGCCTGAGCATATTCACACACTGGCAGCAGGTTCGCAAGGGAAAATGGAAGTGCACAAGTCTTGTGAAACTCAGAGCTGATACACCATGACTTCAGAGTTTTATTAACTAAATCAAGTCACAAAGACAGCCCAGATTTAGAGTCCACCTTTTCCTGGAAAAGAAACTGAAAATTCACATTTACCCTAGGAGGACAATTTAGGACGTTTTCACATTCAATCTAGTAGAGATAGCTACAAAAACCTACATCTAACATAATGCTTAATGGGAAAACAGCTAAAGAATTCCTTTCACGGTCATGAATAATAAAAGGCTACTCAATTAGAGCAATTCTACCAAATAGAGTACTGAAGGCAATGAAAAAAGAAAAATGAAATGAAAACAGGATTAGAAAAGAAGAAAAGTAAAATGTCGTATATATTATATAATTCTATACATGTATAAAATAAGAGAATACATCAAACTGGGCATAAGATCAATATATAAAAGTAAACTGTATTTCTATATAGCAAAGGACATTAGAAAACATAAATTTAAAGAAGACACCATGTGCAACAGCACCAGTCACTATAAATTAACTAGGGATAGGCTGGGCTCGGTGGCTCACGCCTGTAATCCCAGCACTTTGAGAGGCCGAGGAGGGTGGATCACCTGAGGTCAGGAGTTCAAGACTAGCCTGCTCAACATGGTGAAACCCCGTCTCTACTAAAAATTCAAAAAAATTGGCCAGGTGTGGTGGCAGGCATCTGTTATCCCAGTTACTTGGGAGGCTGAGGCAGGAAAATCACTTGAATCCGGGAGGTGGAGATCATGCCATTGCGCTGGGGCAACAAGAATGAAACTCCATCTCAAAAAAACAAACCAAAGTGAATTAACTAGGAATAAAAGATGTGTAAGACTTTTCATTTGAAAATGTAAAATTGCTAAGTGGGCCAGGCGTGGTGGCTCATTCCTGTAATCCCAGCACTTTGGGAGGCGTAGGCGGGCGGATCACCTGAGGTAGGGAGTTCGAGACCAGCCTGACCAACACGGAGAAACCACATCTCTACTAAAAATACAAAATTAGCTGGGCGTGGTGGCGCATGCCTGTAATCTCAGCTACTCGGGAGGGTGAGGCAGGAGAATCGCTTGAACCTGGGAGGTGGAAGGTGCGGTGAGCCGAGATCATGGCATTGCACTCCAGCCTGGGCAACAAGAGCGAAACTCTGTCTCAAAAAAAAAAAAAAAATTTACTAAGTAATGGTAAAGAAGATTGAGATAAATGCAGACACCATGATCAAACATAGGAAAATGCAGTATCATAAAGGTATCAGTTCTACTACAATTGGTTTATTGGTTCAATGCTACTCAATTTATCATTGCAAAATGTCCTTGTTGTAGTGCTTTTTTTTTTTTTTTTTTTTTTTTGAGACGGAGTCTCGCTCTGTCACCCAGGCTGGAGTGCAGTGGCGCAATCTCAGCTCACTGCAAGCTCTGCCTCCTGGGTTCACGCCATTCTCCTGCCTCAGCCTCCCGAGTAGCTGGGACTACAGGTGCCCGCCACGACGCCTGGCTAATTTTTTGTATTTTTAGTAGAGACGGGTTTTCACCGTGTTAGCCAGGATGGTCTCCATCTCCTGACCTCATGATCCACCCGTCTTGGCCTCTCAACGTGCTGGGATTAAGGCGTGAGCCACCTCGCCCGGCTTTTACGTTTTAGTGCTTTTAACTTCAAAGCGCATTTGTCTGATATTAATATTGGTACTGCTACTTTCGTTTTGTGTGATACTTGTTTGCCCCAACCTTAATTTTCAAAACTTCCTATAATTCTTGGCTTTAAGTGACTTAATTTTTAAAAGTACTGCATAGGGTTCTTTTTGTTGCTGTTTTGTGTTTTGTATTTTAGCCCGATATAATGACTTCTGTCTTTTGAGGAGATAATTGTGTCCACTCACATTTACTCTAATGAAGAAAACATTTAACTTTATTCCTGCCTTCCTACCTTATGTTTATTATTTCTTTTTCCAGTTCTTGTTTTTGATGTTTAAGTTGCTGATTATATCTTTTTTACCAATTGTTAATTTCCATTCATAGTTACCTTCATTTCTCCATGTCCACAAACAGCCACATATTTTTCTAATGTTGTCCGAAACAAAGTCCCTCAAAGCACACTATTTCTTAGGTCAAGGTACTTGATTTCTTCCTCAAAACTAACCCAAGATGTTGTGTCCATTAACATATGTATTCCAATTCATCCTTTTATATTTTTCCTACTTAAAAGATTTGTTAAAATTCTTTAATATTTTATTGTGTACTCTTAGTGTTATTTCCTTTGCAGTATAGTCCCTCAATTATGACCATTTAGAGTGCTTATGTTCTTCATTTATAGAGTATAAGGTCTTTATTCCTGCTTTTCCTTCTTCATCCACTTCAGTTCTCTTTTCTGGAATATTCACTTGGCTAGATTTTTTTTTTCTTTTTTTTTGAGGCGGAGTGTTTGTTCTGTAGCCCAGGCTGGAGTGCAATGGCGAGATCTCGGCTCACTGCCACCTCTGCCTCCCAGGTTCAAGCGATTCTCCTGCCTCAGCCTCCCAAGTAGCTGGGATTACAGGCGCCCGCCACCACGCCCGGCTAATTTTTTGTATTTTTAGTAGAGACGGGGTTTCACCGTATTAGCCAGGATGGTCTTGATCTCCTGACCTCGAGATCTGCCCGCCTCATCCTCCCAAAGTGCTGGGATTACAGGCGTGAACCACCATGCCCAGCAAGGTGACTTTTTAATAATTCTAGTATTTTGCCAACATATGCTTAGTGCATATCTTTATTCCATTCTGTACCACAGTGAGACTCTACAATCTGGGCCTTCTTCAATTGTGGGAAGTTTTCTTCTACTTGTTACCTTAAATTTTGCCTTGTTTATTCTGTTTTTTCCCAATTGTAACATCTTTTAGTAATATGTTAAAACCTTAGATTTTTAAGGGTATTAACTTTTCCTTATTTTTCCCATTGCTTTATTTTTTCCTTTGTTTTGAGATATTTTATGCAGTTGATCGTTCTAGCCTCTCATTCAATGTCAATTGATCTCCCTTTCAAAACTTTTCCTAATAGTTTAGCATTTTCCTAAATAAACGCTTTTGGGAGGCATCTGAATTTTAACAATTTCATATATTTTTTTTAATTCAAGTTGTCATTTTTCCATCTAGCTACTGTATTTGCTGAGTCAAAGGTTGGCTTGTTCAGAGGCTGTTAGGGGGCCATCTAAGGTTGCTTATGCCGCTTATGTGGGCTACAATTTATTTATTTATTTATTTATTTATTTTTTGAGATGGAGTCTCACTCTGTCCCCCAGGCTGGAATGCAGTGGCCGGATCTCAGCTCACTGCAAGCTCCACCTCCCGGGTTTACCCCATTCTCCTGCCTCAGTCTCCCAAGTAGCTGGGACTACAGGCGCCTGGCACCTTGCCCAGCTATTTTTTTGTATTTTTTAGTAGAGACGGGGTTTCACCGTGTTAGCCAGGATGGTCTCAATCTCCTGACCTCGTGATCCACCCATCTCGGCCTCCCAAAGTGCTGGGATTACAGGCTTGAGCCACCGCGCCCGGCCTAC